TCTCTCCCCCTTTCAAGCATGATGTTCCACTCCAAGGAATAGACTCGCCTAGCAACTTGCTCCAAGTATGTGAGACGAAGCTTTATCATCTTTGCCTATAAGAAGCATTCTGACTGCACCTTCTCCAAAACGTATCAATTTGTTCTTTTGGTAGTCCATGGGATATTTAGGACTCTTTCCCAACACTACACCTCAATGGCATCAATTTTTCTTCTGTCATATATATTCATTATTCATTCCCCAAGTGTATAGCAAGTGATTGAAAGTCTATGGTCATAATCAGTCATACCTTACTCCTCAAACTGATATCATTGTTAGTCAACAGTTTGGAGAGATCCTTGACTACAGACCTTACCAATGCAATGTGTTTCCTGATCTCTTGACTCCAAGAGTACAGATCCAAGTAAGATGAAATTGTTAAGAGTCTCAATCTTTTTCTCCCTATCATGTTCAGTGGTGAGAACTTTTTTTTTGACATTGAGATGCAATTCGTATTGAAGACTGTCATGCAAGTCCTCTTCTATTTCAGCCAGTCTCACCTGCAGAAAGTAAGTTGTTGTGTCATTTACATAACATAGATTGTTGATGAGCCTTCCACTAATCCTAAAACTATTTTCTTCTCCATAGAGTCCAACTTCTCTAATACTTTGAACAGCATGCAGATTTAATAGGTGTGAAGAGAAGATACATTCTTGAACCACACTTTCTTAAATTTAAAGCATGTAATGTTCCCTTATTCTGTACAACAACCTATTGGTTTAGATATAAATTTCATATGAGCACAATGTAGTATTCTGGGATTCACATTCATCTCAATGTTAGCCATAATTTGTTATGGCGCATACCTTTAAATGTATACACACTGAATTGCTATTATGGAGTGGATAGTCATATACAGAGACATTTAACTTTCAGTACTCAAAGGTATTTGACTATCCACTCTATGCAATAGAATTCAGTTTATATACATTTCACCTTGCGCATGCTTTACCTAGAATTGCTGTCAAATTTGCACCATCTTTTTGAGAGACTCTTGATCACGGCATGCTTATCTGCTGCCACATAGGAAGTTAAAGTTATTTTAGAGCTTAATTATCTATTCTGTTAGCAAGTCAGTGATCAGGACAATTGAGGAGTGTTCCCATAACTGTGATTTTAATGGCACAGACACATCCTAATTTACCGTGTGGGATCATTACGGTGAGTTCTGAAATTCTCAGGGGAGGCAAAGTAAGAGAAATTATTTGGAAAGTTCCTAGGTGATTTGCAAGTTCTGGAAAGATTTGAAACAATACCAGAAATTGCTTTAAACAATCTCAGAAAAACTTTTTTTGTTTAGTCACTTTATCTCTCTCTACCTTTTTGAGCATGAAGTTTCAAATTGGGGAAAAATGCCAAAGAAGTATTTCCAAATAATTCACAAGTCCAGAAAAGGGCCTGGAACTTAAGTATTGATATGACAAGTGACAACCTCTATGTGAACTTGTCATGAAAAATAAGACTCAAATAAACCACCACTGACTTTGGTCAGAGATGATTTTGAAAAAGATTGTTCAAAGACAGTTATGGTAGTTTAGAAAGAGTTTTTTATATACAATGAAGACCTGAACTATCGGTTTTGGTAAGAGAGTTGATATTAAAGTGAAACAAAAAATGGTAAAAGTAAGTTTACAAAGGCAAACTATTGAGGAGTTATTCTGATTTTTTTTTCTACTTATCCACATCTTTTCTCTCTTTCTCATTGCTTAGAGTCAGTAATGACTCATAGTTGACCCTCTAGTATCCTTTGGGAGATTGTAAATCAAACACGAAAGTACTCATCTTTACCTATTAGAGATTATGTTTGATTCAAAACACAGAGAGGCACTGGCTTTGGATTAGTAGCAAGACTCTCTATGGACAGTGTCACCAGTCTTCACAGTAACTCTAAAACAATGAATAACCTTAACTAAGTTTATCTTAAGCTCAAGGAACTGAAGAACAATTGAAACCTCGAGTTGCTATAATCAAGGATGCTTTCTGCAGAATGTCAAATGATCCAGGAAGTATTAAAAGAAGACGGAAAGAATATACTGAGTCACTGTATTGAAAGGAATTGGAAGACAGAAGAATTTCATGAAACAACCTAGGAGCCAAAGACTTTGGTGATGAAAGAAGAAGTTCAGGCTGCTTTGAAGGAAATGGCAAAAAATAAGGCTCCAGAAATAGATGGTATACCAATTGACATATTTCAGTTAACAGATGCTGTCCTGGGTATGTTCCCCAAGTTGTGCCAAGAAATCTGGAGAACAACCACTTGGCCAACTGACTGGAAGAGATGTATATTTGTTCCTATCCCAAGGAAAGGTGACCCAACAGAATGTGGAAACTACAGAAGAATCTCACTGATTTCACATGCAAGCAAGATTTTACTGAAGATTATCCAAAAACGACTGGAAAAGCACATCAACAGAGAACTACCAGAAGTCCAGGCTGGGTTTAGAAGGGGCCATGGTGCTAGGGATATTGTAGCTGATGTTAGATGGATCTTAGCTGAAAGCAGGGAATACCAGAGAAATGTCTATCTGTGTTTCATTGACTATGCAAAAGCGTCTGACTGTGTGGATCATAACAAACTATGGCTGACTCTGAGAAGAGTGGGAATCCCAGAACACTTGATCGTTCTACTGTGAAACCTATACTTGGACCAGGAGGCAGTCATCAGAACAAGGGAACACTGCACAGTTCAAAATTGGGAAGGGCACATGCCAAGGATGTGTCCTATCTCCATACCTTTTCAACCTATATGCAGAACAGATTATCCGGGAGGCTGGGCTCTATGAGGAGAAATGTGGGGTCAAGATTGGTGGATGATTTATCAACAATCTGCTTTATGCAGATGACACAACCCTGCTTCCTGAAACTGAAGAGGACCTGAAGGACCTGCTGCAGAGGGTCAAGAACTGCAGCCTATAATAAGGACTGAGGTTCAATGTCAAGAAGACAAAGATTCTCACCACTGGACCCACTGGCAGCATCAGGATGGATGGTGAAGGGATTGAGATTGTACACAGCATTAGTTTGCTTGGCTCCATAGTCAACAGTCTTGGCCCCAGCAGCCAGGAAATTAAAAGGCACATTGCCATGGAAAAGTCTGCTGTTAGGGACCTCTCCAAAGTACTGAAGAGCAATGGTGTCTCTCTGGAGACTAAGGTGCATTTGATACAGGCCATGGTCTTCACAATCACTTGTTATGCATCAGAGAGTTGGACAATGACCAAGGAGGATAGAAGGAGAATTGATGCCTTTGAGCTGTGGTGCTGGAGAAGATTATTGAGAATACCATGGACTGCTAGGAAAACAAATAGATTTGTCCTGGACAGGGTTAAACCGGGTGGCTCTTTGGAGGCAAGGATTTTGAGGCTCCGTCTAACGTACTTTGGACATGTTGTGAGGAGAGACCAGTCCTTGGATATTGCTTCAGTGACTGGGATAATCGGGATGGGAGTGTCAGAGACAGTGCGATTGGCACAGGACAGAGCAGAGTTTAGGGTTGTTGTACATAGGGTCGCTATGAGTCACAAGCGAGTCGATGACACGTAACAACAACAACAACATGGTAAATAATATCATCCTGGAAAGGGTTAAATCGGGCAGTTCCTTGGAGGCAAGGATTCTGAGGCTCTGTCTAATACACTTTGGACATTTTGTAAGAAGAGACCAGTCATTGGAGTGGGACATCTTGCTTGGTAGGGTGGAGGCACTGTGCAGAAGGGGAAGGCCCTCTATGAGGTGGATTTATTCAGTGACTAGGGTAATTGGGTTGAGAGTGTCAGAGACAGTGCGATTGGCCCAGGACAGAGCAGGGTTTAGGGCTGTTGTACATAGGGTCGCTATGAGTTGCAAGCGACTTGATGGCACACAAGAACAACAACATGGTAAATAATATTTCTTATACTATGCACGTTAAACAAATCTCACTTCATCTTCATAACAACTCATGAGGTAAGTTGATTATTCTTTTTTTCACAAATGAATGGGTTCAAATGGTTTTGGTAAAATAGTTTTATTTTAAAAAGAATTAATTTTCTTAATATCACACATCTAGAGTGACACTATAGTTCCAACCATGAGATCACAGCAGAGATTATGAAGGTAGAATAGAATCTGACAGAGATTCATTCTGTCGTCCATAGGAGGGCTATGAGTCAGAGCTGATTCTGACACTTAACAACATCTCTGAATGTTAATCTCTTAATATTAAGCTGATTTTCAACTGAAAACAAGCAGTAACAAAAACTGTACATTATAATGTAAATTGAGAATATGTTGATTGCTTAAAGAAAGCTATTGTCCCAATACTACTATCTCATGTCACATATCTTTTCTTCTTGTTCCACTATCCAGTCTTCTAGCAGTTTGAGTAAGATATCCCTATGCTAAATTATTATGGATTAGATATTGATTCATTTAAAACAACTACATCTTTCCTTTCTATCCCAGGACTGGCTTAGAAAGATGGAGATGACAAAATCCAGGGCACGTAGACAAGAGGTTGAGAACAAATTTAGAAAGGAATTTCTAGATATTGGAGATAGGGAAGGTCTCCCATTTCAAAACAAGAGACAAAGTGTTTCAATCTTTGGGCTTTCCTGTGTAATGCTAGTTGTATCTTTCTTGCTTGCATGAGCATGATTTTTGAGCATGTCAGGACAGAATGATGGAAAAGCCTTGAGATTTGACAATGTAATTTAGCTGTTTTATTAATGATTCCTGGAATTGCTCCATTTTTAGACTTCATGTTCAGTGGCAAAATTATATATATATATATATATGGTAGATAGATAGATGATAGATAAGTTGTTAGAAAATGTTGATATTTATAGGTAAAAAGAACCTAAGTAAAATCTCAATAATAAACTTTTTTTATATTGCTGTAAGCTTTTCTTTTAACTTTTGATATCAATATTAACCTTTTGTTTTAACCTTTGATAACAATTTCACATGAATGAACTGTTCAGGTCGCCCGCCTCCTTCTGAAATTTGGTGCTGATGTAAATATAAGTGGTGAAGTTGGAGACAGGCCCCTCCACCTGGCATCTGCGAAAGGATTCTTTAACATTGTGAAACTCTTGATAGAAGAAGGCAGCAAAGCAGATGGTAAGATGATATTTATAGAAGACCTGTGCTATCTTTTACTTTCTATATTATTTTCACTTGTGCTTTCCTTAGCTGCAGGGAAATAGTTTTGAGGATGATTATTTGATATTTGGCTAATGTTATACCTAGTAATATTTATAAAAAACAACACATTAGTATGTGCATTATATTTATTTAAATTACATGTGAATCTTTATTTACATGTTTTCACTTAATTTTTAACAAACTAAGTGTACCAATGAAAATCAAGTGTTTTCCTAGGGAAAAAAAAATTGTTTGGTTTTTATTCACTAGCTCTTTCTTTAATTGAGATATAATTTACACACTTTGGAGTTCTTGTATTTTTAATTTCATATTGGTTTACATTCATATCTTAAGTTTGGAGCTTGTTTATTCATTTAATAAATGTATATACAAACTAATTCATCATTATTATAACAATAGAGAGAATATTTTAATCACTGTGAAATATTCTTTTTTTTCTAAATGCCTTTAGCACTATAATCAATAGTTGTACTTTTTTTGTCAATATTTAACTTTATCTGATATTGAGATTCTCATATAATTTGTATACAAAACTTCATGTACTTGTGTTGATCTTTTGAGCAATACAATTCAAGGGTTGTTTTAAGCATTCAAACATGTCTTTGCATTTGTTTTAGCTTGGTCTTTTTATTGCTAAAGCTATCATGCAGAGAGCATTTTGCTTATTCTCCTTTCAATGGATTTGTGCTTCCAGTGTTTGGCTGTCATAAATTTAACACTTTTCTTTTTTTGGGAAAATATGTCTTCTGTCTTGAGTCTATATCAAGAAATGAAACTGTTGGATTAAAGGATATGCTTATGCTGGACCTTTTTATCATTAATAAGCAGTTATTGTACTATTTTTAACTCCCATAAACAATGTATGAGTTCTACTTGTTCTCCATAATCTTATCAATATTTGATATTACATTACTGTAACATTTAGTGAGGTAAATAGTTTGAGCATGATCAGGGTGAAATACTGTAACACTTAATGAGGTAAATAGTTTGAACATGATCAGTGCTTTGGATTACAGAGATGGACTTTAGATGTAGTCAATAGAATGGAATTTTCTTCAAGATTTTATTTTCTAAACTATACAAAGAATTCAGGAATATCGATTACAAATAAAGTTTAGAAAGAAAGAGTACTTTCTCTTTCTTGTTTTTACCTCACAAAATGTTTTTTGACATGAATTCACTCAGAGTTACATTTTGCCATTAAAGTCTCTCAGGCATAGCCAACATTCTTCCATTGACCCCCAAGAGACCTAATTAAAAGCCCAGCTGTAAGAGTTGTGGCCTTTGCAGAAGGAATGAAGCACATTTCCAAAAGGACAAGGTTGTCAAAGCTCTGAAATTGTCAGTCCTTTGGTCCAAATTTCGGAAAGATTTTCGGGTAAAAAAATGTTAATCATTGTTTTCTTCTACTTGTAACAAAGGCACAAATGGTACCAGAGATAGCTATGATTTTAACCTAGTGCAGTTTCCATGTTCTTTTGTATAATTTGAGAAACATAGTTATGTTGTTTTCTATGAACCAATATGATATAACTCAGGCATTTCCTCTCTGGCATTATTACAGACAGCATGTGTTGTCAGAACTCAGGGATCAGGATTCCTTAGACCTTGTTTAAGCAGTCTCTTTCATTCTGTCAATTTAGAATAAGCAGAGGTACACCGGTGTGAATCACTGAACACATAATTTTCTGAACCTACCTTGGTCTTCCAAGGGGTCAGGAACCTCATCACTTTTTCCTTTTATTATTGATGCCAGGTTCAGGGTTTTGTATTTTTTTTTCTCTCCACAATTCCAAAGCTCAGGGCTGTCAAAATGAATGTCATTTATGATCAGCATGTTTCCAGGATCAAATGACTGTTCTGGAAGAGACACTGAAATGTGCACTGTACTCATATATCTCCTACAAACTAATATCATATGATAATAATTTTAGTGTTTTCTTTCTGATTCGCACTAGCACGACTTGCATCCTACACAATCGTTTAAAAAATTGATTGACAGTTTAAAATCGATATAATATAGGGTATTATGATTATCATAAGAGTCTGGAATGAAGGTTCCACAGTGGAGTGTACCCTGAACGGGGGATTATATATCAATGAAGAAACTTTTACTTTTCAAAGAGAAGAGTGAACTGGGGGTGGGGGGGAAAGGGTGGAGCTGGGAGAAAAGTGTAACAATGAATGAATGGAAATCCAAAATCTCTGTAAATGTTCATTAAAATTAATAAAAATTAAAAAAAATTGAGGGACAACATGACCTAAAGTTTGGAACATTTTCTTTTACTTCTTACACATAAAATCAAATCTCAAACCCAATGCCATTGAGTTAGAATCAACTTATAACTGACCATGCAGTTGGTTTTCAAAGCTTGTAAATTATAGAGGAGCAGATTACCTGCAGAGCAGCTGATGCATTTGCACCATGTGCCTCTGAGAAGGCAGCACAACTTCTTACTCACCAGTCTTTTCGAACTAAAACATACTTGATATTCAAGATTTTTTTTTCCACTTAAGCCAAAGAATAAAAAAGAAGATCTCTTTTGCTTGCTGGCTACTACAAAGGACTTCTTGTCAGTTATTTATACAAAAATGTATCTAAGCTTTTAGACAATTTATTTTAGATCTGTACCTCACCCCTGGTAGAGGAACACAGAGGAAGATTAAGTGAATGACCCTTAAAGGAGTACAATTTAAAAACTGGTATTTACAGAAAGTGTCCATGGCAACAGAATGTCATAGATGAAAGTAAATTCAGGTTACAAAATTAGCCAAAATGTGATTCTGAAAGAAACCAACTCATTTCAGCATGTTTGGATGGCTAAACTTATTCAGTCATATTTTCTAGTCTCTGTTTTTCTTTTTTGTACCTCTTAGGACAATAGAAAAGAAAGAAAAGTATGTGCCTATTTCAAGACTTAAATTCAGAATTTATTAATTTATGTTATCTGAATATTAAAAAACCCTAGGGTATCAAAGGTGAGAGTCCTTTAAAATAACAAATCCTTTCTCATGGAACTAGAGATTACAGAAAGTGGTAAAGAATTCCTAGGGCAAGTCAAGGTGTACAGTTCAAATCTACCAGCTGCTCTGTGGGAGAGGATGGGCAATCTCTTTCCTTGTGATTAACTGCCTTGACACAGATTTTTGTTATTAAAAGTTTATTTAAGGTACATTCAGAAGTTAGTTTGCAGAGCTTCTGGGATCTTGTGACATGGCTAGGCTAATATAGAAAGTTTTATTTTATTTTTTTTTTGTATTAAAAGTTGTTGTTCTTGTCATGTTTCATCGAGTCGCTTCCGACTCATAGTGACCCTTATGTATAAGAGCCCTAAATGCCGTTCTATGCTGTGCCAACCTCGCCATCTCAAACACACTCATTCCCACCATCCCAATCATAGAATCGATCCATTTCATCAAAGGTCTTCCTCTCCTGAGCTGCCCCTCCACTCTGCCAAACATGATGTCCCTCTCCAAGGACCAGTCCCTCCTTGCAACATTCCCAAAATATGTCAAAGCTTCAGAATCCCTGACTCTGAGGAGCATTCTGTCTTCACCCTCTCTAGGACAAACCTGTTTGTCCTCCTAGCAGTCCATGTTATATTCAACACTCTTCTCCAGCACCACAGCTCAAAGGCATCAATTTTCTTTCTATCATCCCTATTCACTGTCCAACTCTCTGATGCATAGCACATAATTACGAAGACTATAGCTTGGATTAGGCTCACCTTAGTCTCCAGCCTGACATTGTTACTCTTCAGTACTCTTGAGAGGTCCATCACAGCTGACTTTCTGAATGTAATTCATCTCCTGATTTCCTGGCTACTGTTACCAAGAGTGCTGACTGTGGAACCAAGTAAACCAAAACTGTTAACTATCCCAATCTCTTCACCAATCATACTGATGCTGCCAATTGGCCCAGTGGTGAGAATCTTTCTTTTCTTGATGTTGAGCTTCAGTCCATATAGGAGGCTGCAGTCCTTGACCTTCTGCGGCAAGCACTTCAGGTCCTCTTCAGTTTTAGCAAGCAGGGGTGGGTCATCTGCATAACGCAGGTTGTTGACGACTCTTCCACCAATCCAGATGCCACACTTCTCCTCATATAGCCCAGTGTCTCAGATGATCTGTTCTGCATACAGATTGAAAAGGTATTGAGACAAAATTCATCCCTGATGGACCCCCTTCTTGATTTTGAACCATGTAGTGTCTCCTTGCTCTGTTCTGAAGACTGCCTCTTGGTCCAAGTATAGGTTTCTCATTATCACAATCAAATATACTGGGATTCCCACTCTTCTAAGAGTCAGCCACAGCTTGTAATCCACACAGTCGCAAGCCTTTGTATAGTCATTGAAGCACAGATAGACATTTTTCTGGTATGCTCTGCTTTCGGCCAAGATCCATCTAACATTAGCTATAATATCTCTAGTAGTACCCTGACCTCTTCTAAATCCAGCCTGTACATCTTTTAGTTCTCTGTTGACATATTGTTCCAAATTTTTTTGTATAATTTTCTACAGAATCTTGCTTGCATTTGATATTAATGATATTGTTCGATAATTTCCACACTCTGTTGGGTCACCTTTTTTTGGAATGGGAACAAATATTGAACTCTTCCAGTCAGTTGGCCAGCTGGCTTTCCTCCAGATTTCCTGGTACAACTTAATGAGCACATCCAGGGCAGCACCTGTTTACAGAACTAAATCCATTGGTATGGCATCAACTCCTGGAGCCTTATTTTTTGCCAATTCCTTCAAAGCAATTTGAACTTCCTCTTTCATCACCGTAGGCTCTTGCTCATATGTTATTTAATGAAATTCCTCTGTGTCAGCCAATTCCTTCTGATACAGTGACTGTGTGTACTCCTTCTATGTTCTTTTGATACTTCCTGGATCATTTAACATTCTACCCAAACTATCTTTAAGTATTGCCACCCATGGCTTGAATTTGTTTTTCAA